TTGGTCCCACAAAGGGCAGGCTCTGACGTGACTGTGTGTGTCGTGGTGTGAATAAGCAATTCCACAGGCCTGCAGGTGAGCGAGGCCCTGGGGGACAGCCCGGGGGCGTATTCAGGTAACTGTGCTCCACTCTCAGTCACCAGGGCTCCGGAATTGCTCCCCGAAACCCCCAGGTGTAAAACCCCCAGGGGTCTGCCCCACTCTGCCATCTCCACTGGCGGCCAGATCTCACGTGGAAGGGCAGCCGCAGAACCAGGCTCCCCTTCCCCTGGCTTCCTGCAGCAGAGTTTCAGGGGCAGCAGGAGGAGGGGGCGGAGGCTGAGTCACCTGCCCCCCAGCCCTGCTGAGCGCTGGTGACCCCGGCAGCCTCTGCTCATTGTTTCCAGCTCGGGGAGGATGGGGGATGGGGGGTGGGCAGCGGCTGCAGATGGGGCCGATAAGAAGAGCGATGCTGTTCCACTCGATTCTGGTAAAAGTCCCTCCACCTGACTTTTCCCATCTCCCTCCCACTCTTCCCCTCGGGGTCTGACTCACTTTCCACCTGGTTAAAGGAAGGTGCTGTGAGCTGCTGAGCGTGCAGCGGGGTGACCTTGAGAGGTCATTTCAGCACCCCCCAGCCACTGGGCAGGCGAGGGCATAGACTGGCCCAGCCAGCGGGAATACCTGTGTGTCTGTTTTTGGCTGCTCAGGAGGATGAAGGTTGACTGGATTTTAGCTGCTAAGGGAGAGCCCACTGTGAGGGAGATAGGCAGACAAGAATACATGGGATGGGGCAGCTGGAAGAACTATGGGATCTTTGGGGGCCACTTTCCATGGAAAGAACACTGAACGTGGACTCAGAAGACCTGGGCTCTGAGGTCTGTCACTCATGCCTTTTCTGTGCCTCAGGCTCCTTGTTTCTAAGGGAAGTGGGCAACAGGTCCATCTCTGAGATCAGAGCGGGGAGATTTTCTTGGCTCAGGCTATCTATCGCGTTGCGTAGACCATAGCCCGTTAGCATGGTAAGGGCAGCTCCTTAATCCCACCATGGATGCCCCTTCCACATCTGGAGGAACGGAGGCTCAGAGAAAAATGATACATCTAAGATCCCAGGCTGGACACTCCAGCACCCTGGGGAGCTGGTCACTCAGAGCCTCAATCAGTGGCAGCCCTGCCCTGCCCTGCCCTGCCCCGCGCTCAGTGCAGGAGGTGACCCGGGGTGTTAGGCCCGGCTGACGGGCTGTCTGAGAGCCGCCCACCCCAGCGCACCCCGGACTCACCCTGACGGAGCTCCGCATGGGGCCCAGGTCGTGGTTGTAGGCCTCCACGATCAGCACGTGGGACGAGTCTTGCTCCCGGTCCAGGGGCTTGGGCCCCCGCATCAGGAGCCCGTCACTGACGTGGATGCGGAAGTGCTTGCCATCGTTACCTGTGCGGAGAGGCAGAGGAGATGCATGGGCTCTGTCCTGGAGCGGGAGCCTCTTGGGATTGTGGGGTACAGGAGGGGGACCCGGCCCCCTGAACGCTGATCCTGCCCACAGGTCTCAGGACATGGCCGCTGCCTCCTGCTGCCCTGCCTGACAGGACTGGAGGGGGTTGGTAGAAGTTTACTCTGTACCCTCCTTACAGGAAGCCTGGGGGACCCCTGTGACACTCCCCCACCCCACATCTGAAGTGTCAGTGGATTCAATATTTCAGAGGGGTCTGGGCACCACAGAAAGAGGAGCCCAAACCACATTCTCTGTGGGCGGGTGAAGCCAGGGTTTGGTGGACATCTCGGAGCTGGCCCACTGCCGTGCCCAAGTCCTGTGGTAACAGCACCCTGATTTTCCTCTGGGGATCCACCCTCCCTCCTCTCGGTCCACGAGCTTTGTGACTCATTTGGAGAAGCTGGGGGCACTGCCTTCGTGCCTAAGGCAACAGTGATGGTAAGGGATGGGCCCGTGACGCATGTTGGGCCATGACACTCTCCGGGGAGCTGGCCGCCGAAGGCCGTCCTGGTCCTCATGACCCCTCTGGAAGGTCGGACTGGAGGCCAGGTCTGGGCTAAGCTTACCTGCCTGTTCCCCGGTCCTCCGAGCACCTCTCTCCTGGGGAAGCTGGGTGCTGGCAGGCCCTGAATAGGGAGCCTCTGCTGCTGCAGACCGTACCCCTCACATACCGAGCCCTCATCTCTAACTGGCGCAGAGGACTGGCGAATGCCCCCGGTTCTTCCTTCTGGCTGCCCGTGTGCACAGGACTGGGGCTTCCTCAGTCCGGGTAGCCGAGGAATGCTCTGCCAAGGGACGGGCTGGCCCCTGCCACCCCACACCACCCACTCACCTTGCAGGATGCGGTACCACACGCGCCCAAACTCGCCCTCATCGGCATCGGTGGCCAAGAGCTGAGGAAGGAGGATATACAGTCAGCCCCCGAATGCCAGCCCCCAGGGGGAGAGAGGTTTGTGGAGTCCCTCTCCTTCCCTCTGCACCCCCCAGCCTGTCCCACCCCAGCCTGTGGCTTCCGCGGAGGCTGGGGTGTGGGATGGGAGAGAGACGTGTCTGTCTTTCCCGTCCCTCCAAGGACACCTGACTGACTCCATGCTGCCCTGCCCGTGGTGGGGGACCTCACCAGCTGTTCTCTGGTCCCCTCCAGGTTCTTGGGGAGGACCGGGAGAAGGTGGGAGGTGCGTCCAGGCTTGACTAGGTCAGCTCACACACCCACACGCCCCTCCGCCAGCCTTTGGAGCGCTCAGAACCTCGCCCAGCGTGGTGGGTTGTGTGGCTGCTTCTTGACTGGGTGACCCTGGCCAGGCCACAGCCCTTTAGGCCTCTGTGCTTTCACCTGAGGGGCTGGCTGAGATGGCTCCTGTCCTCTGAGGGATCGGACAGCCCTTGGAGGGCTCCCGTCCGACTGAGGCTGTGCAGAAAGTGCTTCTGTGGTCAGGGGCCAAGGCAGGAGGAAGCTGCTAAGGGCCCCAAACTAGGGCTCCGAAAAGGGGCTGGGCTCCAGGCTCAGGTCTGAGCAGAGCCACAGCTTCCCCGCGCTGTGCTTCTGGGAGCCTGGGGTTCCTTCATGGAGAAGCTGCCTGAGACTTAGGCTACTAAGGAGGCAGCTTGTTGCCAGGGAAGCTCTGGCTTCTGGGAAGAACGAAGGGTGGGGAGGAGCATGTGTGTGTGTGTGTAGGTGGTGGGAGTATGTGGGTGAGGGTATTTGTGGGGGTGGGGAATGGGAGGTGTATGCATGTGTGTGTGGGAGGTGTGTGGGGTGTGGGAGGTGTGTGGGGTGGGTGCATATGAGGCGTGTGGGTGAGATGTGTGGGGTGCGGGGTGTAGGAGTTGTGTGTGTGTGTGTATGTGAGGGGTGTGCGTGTGAGGTATGTGTATGTGTGTGGGGTGTGGGAGGTGTGTGGGTGTGTGTATGTGAGGTATCTGAGGTGTGTGTGGGTGTGACAGGTGTGTGGGTGTGTGTGTGTGTGGGGTGTGTGTGGATGTGTGTATGTGAGGTGTGTGAGGGGTGTGGGAGGTGTATGGAGTGTGTGTGAGATGTATGGAGTATGTAGGGTGTGTATGTGTGTGTGGAGTGTGTGGCATGTGGGAGGTGTGTGTGTGGGTGTAGGTGTATGTGAGGGGTGTGGGTGTGTGTATGTGAGGGGTCTTGGAGGTGTGCAAGGTATGTGAGATGTATGGGGTGGGGTATGTGTATGTGTGTGGGAGGTGTGTGTATGGGATGTGTGGGTGTATGTGAGGGGGGTGTGGGAGGTGTGTGTGTATGTGAGGTGTGTGTGGGGTGTGGGAGGTGTGTGTGTGGGAGGTGTGGGTGTATGTGAGGTGTGTGTGGGGTGTGGGAGGTGTGGGTGTGGGGTGTGTGTGTGTGTGTATGTGAGGTGTGTGAGGGTGTGGGAGGTGTATGTGGTGTGTGTATGTGTGTGGTGTATGTGAGATGTGGGGGGGGTGTGGAAAGTGTGTGTATGTGTGTGGGGTGTGTGTGTATGTGAGGTGTGTGGTGTGTGTGAGGTGTGTGGGGGGTGTAGGAGGAGTGTGGGGTGCAGGGAGAGCCACTGCCTGAAGGGTATCCAAGGCCCACATCCTGAGGAGCACAGCTGTGGCTTCCCTCCATCCTAGGCTTTCTGCCCTGTGATCTCTTTGACCTTTGAGAATGCCTTTCCCCCTTCCTTTCTCCACCTTCAGAGGAAAGCACTTTTCTGGAAAGATGAGGGAGGAGCCTGGAAGGGGAGAGGCCCAGAGACGGAGGAGGGGAGAGGGGCCTCCGGACTCCCAGGACCCCCCTCCCTGCCTGCTCCCGCCCCCTGCGCCCCCTCTCCCGGGTAACCTGGATGCTGGCAGGCCCTCAATAGGGGCCGCTGGCTGCTCAGACCATACCATTCCAGCGCCGCTGGGGGAAGGTGAGAGCCTCGGGGCGAAGAGGCATTGAAACCTCCCCTCCCCCCCAGTGCCCCCCCGCGCCCCGCCCCCAGGGGGCTCCCAGGAGAAGGTGGCAGGGCCCTGTGGAGGCCAGGAACAGAGCTCCCCCACCCTCTCCCAGCCCAGTTGCCATCCCTACCCTCCTGGTGTCCCCTCCCCCAGGCAGGGCCCAAACTCTGGTACACAAAGCCAGGCCCTGCTGGAGAGTGAAGGAGGTGACCCCCTCTGCCCGGCCTGGCTGACGGGGGGCACGGCCCTGCAGAACCCAGGGCGAGTGGGGGCCGCGGGGGGCACGGGGTGCTCCACCTGGGACAGCTGAGAAGACCCCCCACCCTGCTTGGCTCGGGACTGCAGAGGGCTGGCTCTGAGGTCAGTGCCGGGGGACCGCGGGAGGTCTGGGGAGGAAAGTGGGGGTGTGAGGCTGAGCTCAGACTGGGGAGGCCCTCCACTTCTGTGGAGCGTGGAAGGCCTATGGGGGCAGCGGCTAGCCCGAAGCCAAAGAGCCACATGTGCTCCGAGGCCCTGCTCTATGGAGCTCTGAGGTGAGACAGAAGGTTCTGGACTGAGCCTCAGAGCTATGGCCAGTGCGGGGAGATTACATGCCTCGGTCAGGCAGAGGCCTCCTTTTCCGGAACCCGCTGGCCTGGCTGGTCAGGGGGGCACCGAGGGGCCTGGCAGCTGCCTGGCGTGTGCCCAGGGAGGGGGCTTGGTGCTCTCAAGCATGTGGGATCTCTTGCTTCCAAGGGAATGACTCAGGTGCTAGTCACAGCCTCATGGGTCTTCATTACAGTGCTTCCCATGGACAGGAGCCAGGGCTTGCTTTGCTGGCCCCATCAGTTCTCCAGACCCACATGCAGGCCTCAGAATAACAGCGGGATTAGCGGGACTGAGACATCTCCCTCGTCAGACCGTGCTTTTCCTGCTCCCAGCCAAGCAAGGCCCACATGCTCCTGGACAAAGCAAGCCCAGCGGGACGAGTGAAGGGAGGCGACCACTCTGCCCAGCCCGCCAGGGTGGGATGAGGGACAGCCAGTTTTTTCCCCATGGGAGCTGGCGGTGGGCATACGCCATCTGTCCTCCATGCTGAGATTCAGGGAAGGGACAACCCATGGCCAGTGTGCCCTGCAGGCATCGCCTGGAGGTCTAGCTAGATGGCAGCTAGATGGGCATCAGAGTTTCCAGCTGGGAGCTGGGAGGGGTCCCGTTCCGCCTGGAAATGCTGGAAGGAGTGGTGGCAGGGAGTGGGCACGGAGCAGGGTGGAGTGCTCTGGGTGCCCTTAGTCGGTCCGGCACAGGCCAAAGCTGTAGGCAGCAAGAAGTTGGTCCTATGGTTGCTGGTGAGTGCCTGGGTGGGGACTGGGGTTGGGGGTCTGGAGGTGGGAGCGGGTGGCCCTCTCTACTTCCTCCTGCTGCTGACAGGGACCCTCTGCAGCCACCTGCAGTGCATCCTACGGCTGAGAGTTAGACTGGGCTGCATGTTGGGGAAAGAAGGGAAATCCGCTGCCCCCAATCTCACCGAAGTCTCCAAGAGCAAAGAGTAAGACATGGTTGTTATTGGACCATCCTTGGGGATTTCCTGTCCTGAGTTTGTAGGAATCAGAGATCACAAAGGCTGGCTCGCAGAGCTGGATGTAGCCAGCTGGTATGTTTTGCTTGGCCTGCTGTAGTGTTTTCAATGTTTGAAAATGCATTCCAAAGTGTTTGGAATCGGGCTTGCTTAGCCCCCACGCCTCTCTCTCTCAATCTCGCGTTAACCGAATTCGAATTCGTTGCCAACACTGAAACATCAGGAAAGTTTGCCTAAAAATCCAGATTCCTGGCTTCTCTTGGAGAACTGGAAGGGCCCACCGCACTGGGCCTGCCTCTGGCATTCCACCAGCCTGGCCCAGACCCTGCACCCCCAGAGGCACCTCACCTACCCAGCTGTCCTCCGCTCACACGCTACCCACCAGCCTGGCTCTGCAAGCAGCGGAATTGGACCGTCTGCGGTGCTCCCTCTAGTGTTATTCTCTGTGATGACAGGTGGCTGGTGTCTGTGTGGGTTCCGAGCCCCACCCTGTCAACTCCGTGTTCTCCGTGGGTTCTGTCCCACCTGTTCTCAGAGCAGCTCTGTGAGCCCTGGGAGACGGTGGGGAGCCAGAGGACTGGCAAGGGCCTGGGGCCAGGAGCCAGGAAACCTGGTTCTGGCCTTTACGTGGTCACTGGCTCAGTGTGTCCTGGGCCTGGCCTCAGTTCACTGGCCATGGGAGAGCCGGGCTGTCTCGGGGAGCACCATGGGGCCAGGCAGGTGGCGTGGGGCGTGCAGTGGGCCTGGGGGAGGGTGGCGAGTGGGGGGCCAGGGCCTTATCTAACGGAGGCAGCTGCTGCTCAGCCCCGGCCACTGCGTGCCAGGCACAACTGGCCTCAGATTGCCAGTGGTGAAATTTGGAAATTTCCAGAGATGTAAGATGTCCAGATAGTTATGTGAAATCTCTCTCTTTTTTTTTTTTTGGTTGTTTGCGGTTTTTAATCACAATTTAAATTTATAAAAATACTGCAAGAGCCAACCGAAACACACCGGTGGGCCCCTCATTTCAGCCTCGGCAGAACTGCTAGGCTCTCTGCGTCCCACACTCCAGGACTCATTCCCGCTCACAGAGCAAGTTATTGAAGAGCTGGTCTTAGATCCCAGGTTTTCAGGTCTAAGACTCTATTGTGATTCGTGAGGATTGATTTTAAAATTCCTGGCTTCTCCACTGCCGGCAGGAGTTCAGGCCCAGCTCCACCGTTTTCCCGCTGTATGACCTGAGCCTGTCGCCTCCGGGGGCCTCCCTGTAAAATGGCTGTGATGCGACCTGCTGCTGGTTTAGCAGCGCCCAGCCCCCTCCCCTGTCCCCCTCCTCAGGCCTGGGTCCAGCTGATTTACCTCTGAGCTTCCGTCCCATTCCCGTTGCAGGAGCCATGAGCACAGAGGGCCCCGGCCCCGCCGCAACCGGCACTCCGGGGAGCCCCGTGGAGGCAGCGGCCCCGCTGCCCGTGCTCATCACCGTGGCCTGCATCTTCCTCCTGCTGGCCTTCTGCCTGCTGTTCCTGACCCTCTGCAAGCCGGCTGCCCTGGACCCCCGCCCTCCGGCGCGGGAGCGCATGCCCCACCACCCCGGGAGCCCCAGCGAGCCCCAGCTCCGGCTCTGGACGCGCCTGGGCTCCCTGCGCCGCTCCCTGCACAGCCTCCGGCGGGGCCGGTCCGCCCCGCAGCGCTCACAGCCGGACCACGACGGCAGCCACGGCTGGCACTGCACGGAATCTACCGAGATATGACAGGCTGCCGCCACCACCAGGCATCTAGCCTTGGACCACCCTCCCTCGGACACAGCCTGGCACCACGGGCTGCGGGAAGACAGTGCCCCAACCCCCTGCGTGCCCAGGCCCAAGGCCTTTCCCAGGAAGCCCTGGGGGAACACCTTCCTCCCTGCAGGCCCGCCCGCTGCTGCTGCTGCTGCTGAGACTGCTGCCTGGGGTGGGAAGCAGCAGCCTGGACCCTGGGCTGAGGCTCTGGAGACAACAAGCTGGACCCCAGGGTCCCTCTCTGGCCAGGAGGCCCCCATCGCCTCCAGGGAGCAGGGCCTAATTCCCAAAAGGAGGCATGTCCTCCCTCCACGGCCAAACCCAGCTCAGATTTCAGTGCAAGTTGCCAAATGGCTAACGGTTCCCTCCAGCCAAGTCTGAACCGTTGACAAGGCACTGCTCTGCCCTGGACCCCACTCAGGGCCCAAGGCAAAGGGGAACCCAGAGACCCCTCGCCTTTCCTGGGCCCTGTCAGCATTGCCCAGCAATCCCTGGCAGCAGCTGCACCCTGCGGTAGACCAGATGCCTGGGTGCCCGCTGAGGGAGGGTGATGGTGAGGGAGGGGGAGTGAGTGAAACTCCCAATACTGACCAGCCAATAGCAACCTTGGCTGCCCGCCTTCAACGCACCCGTGTGGTTGGGATGGACCAGGAAGAGGCCGAGAATGGGGTAACCACTCCCTGCAGAGGCCAGGCCGGTTGTGTCAGAGTGGCAGGAGGCATGCCAGCTACTGAAGGTGATGCCACCTGGGCTCCGTGGACACATCAGAGTGGTTCCATGCCTCACCCAGGGAACACGGCGGCCTCTCCTCAGTGGGAGGGTCCAGCTTTCTCCAGGACAGTTGTGGGACTTACAGCCCGGACCACAGTGGGGTTCTAGGTTTTGGGTGATTGCTTCATTGCCTGGCTACCTGTCTAGGCAATCCCACTGAGGACAGGCTTCTCAGAACCTCTAACTCTTCCTTCTCCTCCCAAAGCCAGGGCTCTGTGCCGTGGTTGGCTCCCACACTTGGAGAATGGGCAGAGGGGGTCTGAGGGGCCGGCCACGGGGCTGCCCACCTCCCCCTGCTATGACCCACAGTGCAGCTGGCCAGGTCTTCTTAAAGACTGAGCTCTGGTTCCACTCCTCCCAGCTCCCACACCATCACCGCTCCCTAGTGCTGGCTGGACAAAGGCCGCGCCTCGGTCTGGTGCTCGGCACCGGGAACTGGCTCTGAACTACTATTCCAGCCTTATCTGGACCCAGGACATCGCCTGTCCCCGGGCTGTGCCCCCCTCAGGAAGCCCCCCTGCTCTCCAGCTGAAAGTCACTGTGGCCGGAACCGCCCGACTCTGCACCTCTGGAGGGAGGACAGGGATCACGGCCCGTTGGCCGTGTGAATCATCCTTGTCTGTCTGTGTCTCTTCCCTCCTACGTGCTGGGAGCTGACAGAGGGCAAGACTGGGCCCAGTCCCTCACTCGGCTCCACCTGCTGGGGCCCGAAGAATGGGACTGGTTACTGAGTGACGGGAGGGCACACCCAGTCTGGGTACATCCACCGGCCCCCAAAGCCTACGGAGTCCTGTCCTCCCTCAGACGCCCCAGGGAGCAGCTCTCTCCACACGCAGGCCCTGTGGAGAGGCTCCTGTGTCCTTCCTCCAGTGTCCTGCTTGGACAGGAGCTTCCGGGAGAAGCTGGTGCCTGCCTCTGCCTCTCTCCCTGAGGAATGGGGGGAACAGGGCTGCCCCACAGGGCTGGCAGGTCTAGGACTGGTCTGAGTAGCGTTGTGTAATAGAAACCAATCCTTTGGGTTTAGAAAGTGGGGTGGGCCTCCTCCCAACAGGCTGTTCCCCCCTCCTACCTCATCCCTCGCCTCCTTGTGACATCCCAGGATGAGTTCCTCCTACAGCCAGTCCCCCAGGCCACCCCCTGGCCAGTGCCCTGCTTGGCACCAGATGTTCTCTTCCTGGAGACCAGGGGTGGGAGTGAGGCTGCCATGAGGGAGAAGGAAAGACTGGGGATGGGGAGGGGCCCTCGGAGGCCTGGTCATACCCCTGAGTGGCAGGTATTTGGCCAGCGGGGAGGGGCTCTCCAAGCCCCCAGAGGGAGAGAACCTGCCTCTTTCAGTAACCAGCCAGGCTCTGTAAATCCCTGTGGTTTTCTGGATCTTGGTGTCTCTGAGCACCAGCACCCTGCTCCCAGCCTTCCCAGTCCCTGGGCAGCATGGCGGGTGCACTCCCAGCCTCCCAAGCCCAGCGCCTGGCGCAGCGGGCAGGCCCAGTTTGGCTGTGTTTGGCGCAGCCTCGCAGCCGGAAACCTTGCAGCGGATGAAGACGGTCATTCATTCCCGGCCTCCCTCCCCGCCCAGCGCAGAGGCCTCCGGGTGCTGGGGAGGGCCCGGCCCCCCTCCAGGCCCTCCTTCTCCCTCTGTGTCTGCTCCCTTTCTTCCTGTGCCTGGTGCGTCCCCGGAGAGGAGCTCCGGCCAAGGGCCCGTGAAAGCCACTCTGTTCTGGGCAGCGCTGGGCCCTGGCTCCCTCCTCAGCTCCTTCCTGGGAAAAAGCGAGCAGGCCATCTCCTCTCCGCTCTGAAAGGCCCGCCTGGGAGGGCAGGACCAGGCTGTGGGGAGGAAGGGAGACGAGGGGGCCGATGCCCTCCTTCTGTGTTTTGGGGTGGAGCCAGGGCCCTGTCCTCGATGACATAGTAACCTGGGGTCCTCCTCTGTCCCGGGAGGAGGGGGCCTGGGTCCCCCTTCCCCACAGCACTGGCTACTCTCGGGGCAGCAGCTGGGCCCACTCCTGTTTCTGCCCCTCCCCGCTGCGATGCCACGGGGCATGTGCACTCAGGCCCGAGTGTGGCCCTGCCTGCCCCGGCCCACCGGCCACACCCACCTGCACGATGCTGTGGCCCTCGGGGATGTCCTCGGGGACGCTGGCCTCATAGCTGCTCTGAAGGAAGATGGGCCGGTTGTCGTTCACGTCCAGGACCGTGACGAACACGGTGGCGGTGCCGGTGCGCCGCTTGCCCACGGGGCCGTTGTCTGTGGGAGGGGACGGAGGATGGGCTGTGGGCAGCGGCCTGAGGGGCACGTTTCCTGGGCACGTGCCCTGCGCGCCCCAGCCACGGTGGCCCGTGCGGGCAGCTCTTTTCCTCTCTAGCTTAGGAATGACACTAACGACATCTAACACGTCCCTCAGTCTCTCCAGCAGCCTGTGAAGCAGGCGCTGTGGCGATTACTTCCGCTTCACAGAGGAGGGAGCGGAGGCGTGAAGTGGCTGAATGGTGGCCCCCAAAGACATGCTCATGCCAAGTCCCTGGGAACCTGTGAATGTCAGCTTATTGGGAAAAGGGTCTTTGAAGAGGTGATTGGGGTTAAGGATCTAGAGATGACACGTCCTGGATCATCAGGTGAGCTATACGTCCAATGAGAGGGTCCTTCTCAGAGAAAGGCAGAGGGAAAGCTGAGAGAGGGGAAGGCCCCTTAGGTGGAGGGAGAGATTGGCACCAGCAGAGTCAAGGAAGGGTTCTCCCTGGGGACCAGGGAGGGAACATGGCCCTTAATTTTAACTCCTGGCCCCAGAGCCACGAGGGGATCCATTTCTGCTCTTTGATGCCACCGACTCTGTGGTACTTTGTCACTGCAGCCCCAGGAACCAGAGTCGGGGACTGAGGTCACAGACCCAGCTGCTGTCAGGCGGGCCCGCCTCAAGGCCGCTGCCCTCCGCCATACACAGTGGATGGGCAGAGTGTGGCCTAGTGACACTAGATCTGGGTTCTCAAGAGAAATTGAACTTGAGCTTTTAAATAAAGTCTGACTTTTAAGTGTTCACAACTGTCATTCGATATGAAACACGAGATGGGTCAAACATGCTTAAGGAGTAGACTTGGGCTGTGGGTCCGCTGCACTCCGGGATGTAGGGCCTGCTGGATTGCTAAGGAAGCTGGGGTCCTCCCCCTTCAGCCCCTGCAGGACCTCCGGGGCTGGGGAGGTGGCCCAGCCTCAGGGCAGCTGTTGAGTCATTCTTCCTGGAGGAAGGAGCTGTATGTCTCCGCAAGGACAGTCACCCAGGGCTCCTCCCAGGCTTCCCCTGGGCAGGAGGGTTGCCCAAGGGCCAGTGGTGAGCCTTCCCCAGGCCAGCCGACACGTGCTGGGATGCAATCGCCCAGCCTGAGTCCTCTCATCCTCCCACCGCCCTGGGGGTCCCGCCTACTTGCCCCGGCTGGGGACAGTGTGAGGCCCATAAAAGGCCAGAGCTGAGCCCTATCCTGCTAGCCAGTGCTTGTCATGAAGGCTGGACTCAGTGGGGATGATGGGTCCCCAGAGGGCGGGGTGGCTGCCCAGGGTGGAGGAGAGCAAGGCAGAGGGAGGATGTGTGTGGGCATGGCAGGCTGGGGAGGGACGGCGGCTGGAATGAGTGAGGCCAGAGAGCACATTCCCCTTCCACCCAGAGCTCAGTGCAAACTCGAACTGGGTGCCTCTGGGAGGCCCGGGCCAGCGGGGAGGCCAAGGTCTCATGCCCTCCTCCTACCCAGAGCCCTCAAGGGCTCCTACTGTCTGGAAACAAGGCCCAAACTTCCAGCCTAACATTTAGGCCTCCATTGCTGCCCCTACCTGGTCGCAGTCCCTTCCCTAATATATGCCACACTAAAGAGCGTGTGCATGCGAGCGCACGCACACACACACACACACACACACACACACGGCTCTGTCCCACCTCTAGGCCCTTGCATGAGCAAGCTCCTCTGCCTCAAATGCCCTCCTTGTACTGAAACCTCACCTGGCCCTCAAGCTGGTGGTGGGCATGCCCACTTCTCCCTGTAAGCACCATCCTGCCCTCAAGTAAGTCCATGCCCTGAGATGGCGCCAAGAACACCGTTCCTGACTCTGAGGCCTGGGGTTCCAGGTGGGTCTGACTGCCCCCAGCTCCCCAGCTCCAGGAACTGCGATTTAGGCCTAAGCACCAGGACACCTCACCCCCCTGTCCATGACCAGGGGTTCCACGGGGGCAGGTGGAACGAATCACAGCTCCTCCCAGGCCTCCGCTGGGGAGACGGGGAAAGACACAATGCTGTCTCCTGCTGCTACATTTGAACCCAAGAGGACTGAGGCCGGGGCGGCAGCAGCAGTTTGTCTCCATGTGAGGCAGAGGCAGAGCCAGGCCACAGAGAGAGACTGAGGCCCGGTGGCATCGCCTGAGCCCCGGATCGTCATACCCGAAGCTCCATCTACCTCCCCGTGGACTGGTTCTGTGCGCTCCCATTCCTGAAGTCAGTTTATTTTAAAATGTGCAACTAACTGATCCAATGGTATTCCCTGATGCCACCTCCTCCAAGAAGCCTTCTTTGGTCTCCCCCCTCCCCCACCACATTTCCACCACCCTTTGTGCAGCCGCTCTCGGGTCGTCCCTTCTCCTGTCTGCTTGTTCGGCCTGGCTCTGCAGTGATGTGTCCACCTGCTGGTCTTTTTCTTGGCTCCCATGTGACTCCTCCCACAACACCATCTTAGTGTTGTGCATATAGCACCGGCACCGGGCCTCATGCCTGTGAAGTACTCATAACATGTCGATGTCTAGCCGCCCTTTCTCCACTGGCATCAGGGCAGAACCGTTGGCTCAGGGTCTGAGGCCCCACGTGAACTCTGCCTGGCGCGGCCATGTGTGGTGTGCGGGGAGGGCCGGTGCGTACCGATGGCCTCCAGGACGAGTGTGTACGCGGCCGTGGTCTCCCGGTCCAGGTTCACCACCGTTCTCACAACGGCGTCACGGTAGCCAACGCTGAACTTCCCATCTATGTTTCCTCCTGCGGGCAAGAGAGAAGGCAGCTGTGATCAGGAAACAGGGCTCCTGGCTCGGGAAAGGGAGGGGGCACCCCACCTCTGCTTCTGAGCCCCAACCAGGAGGTGGTCCAGGGACGAAAGGCTGTGCTGCCCCCTGGGCGCTGCCTGAGAGCAGGGTTCTGGGGGGCTCTGATGAGGGTGTGGCCTGAGTGGGCTTAGGCGGGGGTGCGAATGCCTGAAATTTGTTGAACACCTACTGTGCGCCGTTCTGTTTTGTGTACACCATCACTGTCTCCATGTCACAGACAAGGGCATGCTCCTTTAATGAGGTTACCTGCGGTGCCCTGGGTTAGTCACCTCTTTGGGGTGTGGGACTCCAGTCCAGCCCTCTGCTCCCCAGCCCGTGTCCTTCACCAGTCGGTTACCTGCCTGTCCCATAGGAGTGTCTGAGCAGTGAGGCTGGGCTGGGCCTTTTAGATGTGGCTGGGTCTTTGGGGCATTCTCCAGGTCCCTGACCTCGGGTTCTCTGAGGAGGGGGTCCCAGAGGCTCGAGTGAAAAGCACGGGCAGGTGGGCAGCAGACAGGTGCTACTGAATCCTCCTGAGTTCTGGGGCAGTGGGGAGTGTGAGGTCTCTTTCCTGAGGGAGCCAGGAGCCAGGAAAGGACTGCAGAACAGTGTGGGGACCTCTCCTCTGCTATTGGCAGGCAGTGCAGTGCTCTGGGCAGCAGAGGGCGCCACTGCACTGGATTTGAGCTACCTGGGACCAGGACACTGCAGGCTCCTGGAAGAAGGTGCAAAATTAAAATCCGAGAAACCCAGGGCTGGAGGGCTCTCAGGTGAGCAGGAACAGGCCACCTCAGGGAAGTCTTCCTGGGGGCTGGTGCCACACGCTCCTTCGTTCTGACATGATTGCCCCTGGAGGAAACGCCCTGCCTTCAAGCCTCCAGTATCGGCTCCTCAGTCTGGCTCTGAGGAGGCAGAGGAGGAACTAAGACACAAGCGGTGCTGGGTCTGAACCATGGCTGGTACCGTGTGGGGGTCTTGATAACTGAGCCTCCCCAGGACAGTCTGGAGGACCAGACTGGGAGGAGTGGGCCTTAGGGGTGGACCCTTTTATGGAGGGGAAGGAGGGAAAGCATCTGAGAGGGAGAGGCTGGCGGCTGGGAGGTCATCTTAGTGCAGCAAGTTGTAGATGGGCCATGAGCCCGGGCTTCCTTTAGGAGAGGCTTCAGGGACACTGGTGTGAGTATTGTAGTTGTGTGCACACATGTATGTGCATATGAACATGTGTGTGTCATGGCTGCAGGAAGACTGAACCAGTAAAAGGGCCAAGGGAGGGCTCAGGAATGTGAGAGAGCTAGCCCCCACCCGCACACATGCCAGCACCTCTCAGACACTCCATCGACTGAAGAATGCGGGGACACTGCTCTAACCCAGAAATGGCTAACACATGGCATGTCGCCTCCACAAAGCCTATGTCATGGCAGACATCACTAATTGATCACGACTCCCTTTCACATGGCTCTTCAGTGGTGGCAACTTGACATGCTGAGCTAAAACTATCTCATTTAGAGATCTAAACCATCTGCCTCTAAATGGATGGGAACCCTCTTCCTAAGTGAAGGGCCCCCGGGGAAAGACAAGGCCACATTCCTCCAGTCTGCTTCGTCACCCCAACATGGGGTGGGGTGGGGAGCATGGCTCCTCCCAGGAGCCACTGGTTCCACCGCCCTCTAGACCAGTGGTCGGCACCCTCATTAGTCAACCGAGCCAAATATCAACAGTACAAGCATTGAAATTTCTTTTGAGAGCCAGATTTTTTAAACTTCAACGTCTTCTAACGCCACTTCTTCAAAATAGACTCGCCCTGGCTGTGGTATTTTGTGGAAGAGCCACTCTCAAGGGGCCAAAGAGCCGCATGTGGCTCGAGAGCCGCGGTTTGCCGACCACTGCTCTAAACTGAACCTTGGTTAAGTCCTCTCACCCCTGGGGACCCAGCTCCAAAGCCCTTGGGCAAAGCCGAGAGCAGATCCTCAGGGAGGCTCCAGCAGGGGCACACCTGGTGGCTGGCCTGGGTCCCTTCCCCGCCCTGGCCCCGGCCCCGCAGCAGAGCAGCCGGAGGGTGGCGGCAGGGCACCTGTGATGAAGTAGCTGAGCTCGGCGTTGAGGCCCACGTCGTTGTCCGTGCAGTTCAGCCAGACCACGCGGAACTCCCGCGGCACGTCCTCGGACACGGACACGTTGTACACGGCCGGGAAGAAGGTGGGCGTCTCGTCGTTCACGTCCAGCACTGCGGGCAGAGGCGGCACACGGGGCTGGGCCTGGCTCCCTGGCCAGCCTACCTGGCTCCACGGCAGCGGCCCCCACCACAGGCCGATGGGAAATGGGTTCCTAGGAGTCAGCACCTCCCGGTCGTGCGCCGAGGGCCCCGGGCTGGCTGGGCCAGGACAGAGCTGACCAGAACCCCACACCCTTGGGCGGCCCCTGTTCCTTGGGGGCTGCTGCTCATTCTGTCCCAGGGAGCTGGCCATCTCTTGCCCATTACATTCGACACTTATTTCAGGGCTTATTCCTGGCCCTCTGGCAACAGCTCGTCAGTGTACCAGTTCCGTTCCGAAAATTAAAGGTGTAGCCGGAGTGGTTGAGAGTGGTGGCCCTCCTGGCCCCACCTCGATAGAGGGCGGAGACTGCGGGCATTACGGAGGGGGCCGAGAGCCGAGGGGAGGGGGCATCTCAGGGCCTCTGGGAATCCAAGCTGCCTTCCTCCAAAGGCAACACCTTTCACGGAGATTCAGGCACGTGGGAGGGGAAGGGTCCCTTTGCACCTCCAAATAAAAACTCGGCCTTCTGCCGGGACCAGTTTGGCTCAGTGGATAGAGCATCTGCCTGTGGACTGAAAGGTCCCGGGTTCGATTCCGGTCAAGAGCATGTACCTTGGTTGCGGGCGCATCCCCAGTAGGGGGTGTGCAAGAGGCAGCTGATCGATGATTCTCTTTCATCGATGTTTCTAACTCTCTATCCCTCTCTCTTCCTCTCTGTGAAAAATCAAT